TTCAGCGAGTGTGATTTTGATGCTGTCACTGAAGGCGACGAGAACGCTATCGGATGTTGGCGTGATTTTTTGCTTGCTTCGAAGGACGATGTGAGTTCTGCAGTGAAACTTCTTCCGGTTCCTCGCTTTTAACACTATCTTTTACCAGTCAGTAGTCTCTGTTGTGCCAAATCTGAGATAGAGATATGTGTGCAGTGAACTCTTTTATCGTTCAATATGCACTGTTGTTCTGCAGTAGTTCGAAGGTTCGATGCTATCGCCGAGGAAACCGATTCCAGTACATTTTGATGGTAAATTAAAATTGGCATATGCCTGGGAGTCAAACCTGCCATTGGTAACCAATACTCAGTTATGAGAGGTATCGGCAGCGGTTGATTGCTGTTGGCACTTGCTATCACTGGGGCTACTTCCCGGGTGCCTCCGCTTTTCAAAAAGAGCGGAATACGGAGTGGGGTTATGATTTACAGATCGCCAGGGTACAACAAATCAAATCACGAATTCAGCAGAAAACACTCACCTCACTGCTCTCTGTGTACAATGCAACGGAATCAGAAAAGGACAAAGCCATCTATGATATTCTGTGTACTCTCGAACGAGACTACAAAATGAGTCTCAGGTAAGAATTGGTGTATTTTGCGCTGTCCACTGTAAAAATCGCCATACAACTAGCACCTCGAAACTCCGCTTTCTTCCTGTGTTACTTCAGCGATGCGAAACGTGAACTACCACTCTCGCTCGTTTAGGAAAACCCGTTGATTTTAAGCGGCTTGAAAGGCTAAGGACATTTTCGCGAAATTCCAGCTTCATAGCTTCTGCGGCTGTCCAGTCGAATGTGGGCGACAAAAATTCGAACACACACACAGTAACATTCCTCGACAATATGTGTTTTTGCATTTGCAAAAAAAAAAAAAAAATGCTAAAATTTACAAGCTAGCAATGACAAAACAGTGAAGAAATGATTTTGGATATCAGCAGAGCACAGCATATTAGCAGCGATGTTTTGCGATCACGTTTGGTGTGAAGAAAAATGTGTGGTGAAAAAAGGAGCTGGGCTGGTCGTGCGATGGATGAATAAAAGAAACGAATAATCGATTGGTACTGACGAAATGTCAGGGGAACAGCTAGGAAGCCACAGAGGCCCTGGGCTGGTGCTCTTACTCGAATGTATGGTGGTGTACTAAGCTCGAGACCAATGTTGATGGCGTAGTTGTTGGATAAAATCATTCCGAGTAAAATCACTTCAAGTTCTAATGCACA